TGAACATCTTATCTCAGTCCATATTACACACATGTGGCAATGCTAATATGTAATAAAAGAAAAAAATTGAGACCAAATAGGAGAGAATGTATTATAGTGCTTTAAATAAATTATAGTGGACTCATGGTCAGAACAATCCATTTTTTGGTTTATTAGATTTATAGACAGCACCTTCCCTCTGTCAGTTGTCTATGAGACTGTAACCTTGTAATATTTGCCATTTGTTAAACATAGAAGGAAAGATGGGATAAAAAACTCAAAGGAAGAAATGGAAGCATGCAGATGAAGCACATAGTGGAGGTAAAGGAGGGCCTGAGGGCAGGACATAGATCTGGGTCCCAGGGTTCTCCCAAAGACTAGAAGATAAGACAACATTCTCTGTTGATGAAGTTGATGGCAATTTGAGGAATCACCAGAGTATACACTGGAAGGAGAAAATTGCCTCTTAGATCACTGACTAAGCAGCTGAAGAAAATCCTGGGGGAAGATAATTAATTAGCCCCTGTCCCTGACCCTACACCATTCTCTGTTTCAACCCTGTGCCTCAGAGAAGATTGAAAGTTAGCTTTATTGGTGTCAAACTTATTTTTAAAAGTTATGGATTGAGATTTTTTTGTATGTGTTATGTGAAAATGAGTCAGTGAGAAGTTTCAGAATATTATATTGGAGAATTTCGGGAGGCATTGTTGCATCAAAACGCTTAAGAAATTGAAGTCAATATTTGTACGACTCTAAAAGAACTGGTTGAGGTTTTTTATTTTTTGATTTAATTAATTCTTTTTTAATTATAGTTGACATATAGTATTAGATTAGATTCATATATACAACATTGTGATTCAACATTTACATACCTTACAAAGTGATTACTGTAATGATTCTAGTAACCATCTGTCATCATGGTTATTACTGTGTTATTGACTCTATTCTTTAAGTTATACATTACATCCTTATGACTTATTTTATAACTGGAAGTTTGTACTTCTTAATCCCCTTCTTGATCCTCCCCTACTCTCTCCCCTCTGACAACCATCAATTTGTCCTCTGTATCTCAGTTCCACTCAATTTTGTACATTAATTTTGTTTCTTAGATTCCACTCATAACTGAGATCATGTATTTGCCATTCTCTGTCCAACTTATTTCACTTAACATAATACTTTCTAGGTCCATCCATGTTATCGGTAATGACAAGATTTCATTATTTTTTATGGCTGAGTAGTATTTCATTATGTTTGTACCACATTTTCTTTATCCATTCATCTATCAATGGACATGTGAGTTGTTTACATATGTTGGGAATTGTAAAGAATACTGCAATGAACATAGGGGTGCATATATCTTTTCAAGTTATTGTTTTTGTTTTCTTTGGATAAATACCCAGAAATGAAATTGCTAGATTATGCAGTAGTTCTATTCTTAATTTTTTTGAGGAATTTCCATACTGTTTCCATACTGGCTGCACTAATTTACAATTCCACCAACAGTGCACAAGGGTTTCTTTTTTTTTCACATTTTTGCCAACACTTTTTTTTTTTCTTTGTGACAATTCTATCAGGTATGAAGTAATATATTATTGTGGTTTTGATTTGCATTTCCCTATGATTAGCAATGCTGAGAATCTTTTCATGTCTGTTGGTCATCTGTATGTCTTTTTTAGATATACATCTATTCAGGTCTCCTGCCCAGTTTTTAAATGGATTGTTTGTTCTTTTGATGTTGAGTTGTATAAATTTTCATATATATATTTAAATATTAATCCCTTATCAGATATATCATTTGCAATTTTTTTTTCATTCAGTAAATTGCCTTTACACCTTGGTGATGGCTTCCTTTGATGTGCAAAAGCTTTTTAGTTTGATGTAATCCTTTCTATTTTTCTTTCTTTTATTTTTTTGTTGTCTTTGTTGAAAGATACACACACACATACACACACACACATGTACATTTCTAGGAGCAATGTCAGTGTTTACTATCTATATGTGGTTTCAGATTTTATGTTTAAGTCTTTCATCTGTGTTGAGTTTATTTTTGTATATGGTATAAGAAAACAGTCTAGTTTTATTTTATTTTGCTTATATCTGTATAGTTTTCATAACACCATTTATTAAAGGAACTGTATTTTCTCCATCGTATATTACTGCCTCCTTTTCATATGTTAGTTGACTGTAAAAGTGTGGGCTTAATTCTGGGCTGTCTATTCTGTTCCATTGATGTATAGATCTGTTTTGTGCCAATACCATACTGTTTTGATTACTATAACTTTATAGTATAACTTGAAAGCAGGAGTGTCACACTTCCAAATTTGTTCTTCTATCTCAAGATTTTTTGTCTATTCTGTGTCTTTTGTGGTTTTATATAAATTTTAAGTTACTTTTTCTAATTCTCTGAAAAATGCCATTGGTATTTTGTTGAATCTGTAGACTACTGTGAATAGTGCAGACATTTTAACAATATTAACAAGGGCTTCTAATTTTATGTTAAATAAAAGTAGTGAAAGTGTACATCCTTGTTTTATTTCTGATCTTTAGGAAAACACTTTTAGCTTTTCACTAGAGTATGTTAGCTACAGGTTTGTCATATATAGCCTTCAGTATGTTGAAGTATGTTTCTTCTATTACTACTTTGCAGAGAGTTTCAATATTCATAGATGCTGGGTTTTGTCAAACACATTTTCTGCATCTATTGATATGATTTTTATCTTTTATTTTGTTTATGTGGTATATCACGTTGACTCATGAATATTGAAGCATTCTTGTGTATTGGAATAAATCCCACTTGATCACAGTGCATGATCTTTTAAATATATTGCTTAATTTTGTTTCCTGATATTTTCTTGAGAATTTTTGCATCTCTCTACATCAGGGATATTGGCATGTAATTTTCTATTTTTTGTAGTTTCTTCATCTGGTTTTGGTATCAGGGTAACATTGGCCGCATAGAATAAGTTTGGAAAATTTCCATCCTCTTCATTTTGGTGAAGGGGAAAATGTTTGAGAAAAATAGGAATTATTTTTTTGAATGCTTGGTAGAATTCACTTGTGAAGCCATATTGTCCTGGACTTTTGTTTGTTGGTAATTTTTGGTTACTGATTCAATTTTTTTCTAGTAATCGTTCTGTTCAGGTTTTCTATTTCTTTTTGACTCAGTCTTGGAAGAATATATGTTTCTAGGACTATATCCATTTCTTCTAGGTTGTTCAATTTCTTGATATATAATTGTTCATAGTATTCTCTTAAAATTCCTTGTATTTCTGTGTTATCAGTTGTCACTTCTCTTTTATTTCTGATTTTATTTATCTGGGCCCTCACTCTTTTCTTTTTTCTTAATGAGGTTGGATTAAGTTTTATCTTTTTTTTTTTTTTTTTTTTTTTATCTTTTCAAAAACTAACCATTAATTTTGTGGACCTTTTCTATTGTTTTTGGTCTCTATTTCATTTATTTCTGTTCTGATCTTTATTATTTCCTTTCTTCTACTCACTTTGGGCTTTGTTTGTTCCTCATTTTTTAGTGTTTTTTTTTTTTTACTTATAAGTTTAGAATGTTTATTTGAGATTTTTTTTTAAATTTTGTTCTTGATGTAGGCCTGTATCACTATGAATTTCCCTCTTAGAGCTACTTTTGCTGTGTCCCAAATATTTTAAATTATTGTGTTTTCATTTTTATTTGTCTCAGGATATTTTTTTGGTTTCTTCCTTGATTTTTCCATTAACATATTGATTGTTTAGTAGCATGTTCTTTGTCCTCCATGTTTGTGTTTTTTCAAGTTTTCTTCTTGTAATTGATTTCTAGTTTCATGCCGTTGAGATCAAAAAAGATGCTTGATGTGATTTTAATCTTCTTAGGTATACTGAGACTTGTTTTCTGGCCAAACATGTGTATTTTATGGAAAATGTTATATATGTTCTTGAAAAGAATGTCTATTCAGTTGATTTGGGGTGTAACATTCTGCAAGTATCAGTTAAGTCCATATGATCTAATGCATTGCTTAAGGCCACGGGTTCTTTGTTGATTTTCTGTCTGTATGATCTATTCATTGATATGAGTGGGGCATTAAAATCCCCTACTATTATTTTGTTACTGGCAATCTCTCCTTTTATATCTCTTAATATTTGTTTTATGTATTTCTTTGCTTGGTTGAGGTGTTTTAGACATAAACTGGGATGTCAAGAAAGCTCCAGAATTCTTTAATGGGGTCCCTGTTGAGGTTATTGACATCTAAAATGGATAGCTGTGAGGCAGATATTAGTAAAAAATATAAAATGGAAGTGAATTCTAAAATGCATAAATGTATACAGAATATAGATATGTGTATGGATGATCCAAATAGTGGCAGTGTAAAAAACTACAAATTCCCTCAAGGAATGTGGTATTTATCACCATGCCTGATATATAATAATGCTGATTTACTTTATTTGGTTGAATTAACCTTGACAACACCAAGATTCTTAGAATTAGAAGTGGCCTGGAGGAACCAAATGAAGAAAACAAACCAGGAAATCCAGGATTGGCTGTATAAAACTTTTCCTCTTGGCTGACTATTATTTTCTTCTACTCTACTTTAGGTTATTTTGGAATCTTATTTCACATTATAAATTCTTGAAATTTCATGAAGGAAATTAAGAAGAGAGTTATTGAAATAATAGAAGTTGAAGAGAGTGGAAACAACTTTATAATATTAAAGTTTTCACAATCCTATTACAAAATAGATTGTGGTTTTATTTTCCAAACTGATATTTGTTTTTTGATAACATCCCCCACCCCACCATACACACACTTTAATTTTGTAGCTAAATTCAGAAATTTCTATAAGGACCCAAATGCTATAATAATAGCATATCTTTTAAAAATTAGAATGATCAAAGAATTAAAATATTTATCCTTTTAATTTAATTTTAAATTTTAATTTAACTGAACAGTAATAATCAATTAAAATACAATCTGATCATACTTTTGCATTTTATGGCCCTTTTTAAATTCTAATTTCTAATATTTGCTTTTCAAGGAAGTTTACAAGTTCACTATCAGCTGAGCAAGGAAGAATCCCATGTATTCACCATTGAGGTAGAGAACTTTGCCAACAGAAGGATGCATCACTTGAAGATTAACCGAGAGGGAAGAGAGCTTACAATTCAGGTATATTATTTTTCTTCTCCTCATTCAGCCAAATATGATTTGGATGCTGACTAACACTTTTCTGCGCTTCTACCCTAAGCCAATTGTAGAGCCAAGTTCTGAGGATACATATGGCCCACACTTGGCTCCAGCCTTTGAAGAACTAGAATAGTAGTTCTCAAAGTGTGCTTCTTCTTTCCCACTAGCATCAGCATCACCTGGGACCTTGTTAGAAATGAAAATTCTTGGGCCTCACATTAGATCTACTTAGAAACTTTTTTTGCAAGGGTGGCAGCAGGCAACTTTGATGCCTGCTTGTTTGATAGCACCTAAATTGTGGCATAATGAGAAAGACACGGGTGAAGAGAATCACCAGGGGACTGACAAGGGCTAGAGCAGAAGTGTTCTCAGGTGAAATGGAAGCATGCAAGAGGACACAGATCTCATGTGGGTATTAGTACTCAATTCCTGGGTGAAGCTAGGAATAAATTGAATCTTGAAAGTGAATAGGAATTGGCAAGGTGGAGAAGAAAGAGGAAAGTGCTCAGGCAGGTGTTTTGTGTGATTATTGGCAAAGCTGTCCGGAAAAGTATAGTATGTGGTAGGCTCTCTGTGAAATTCTAATGGTCTTGGTATAAAGAGCAGACAGCAGGTGATGACATATCACTATAGAGAACTGGTATCTCCTTTAGAATCGTGACCTAAAGTGAGCACTTAAATTTGCCCAGCAGTCACCCCTTATTTTTTTTAATCCAGGATCTTTTGATATCCTAGGTGATAATTTTAAACCTTCTTATACCACCACCAATCTCAACCACATCTTCACTCTTAGCAGATGACTTTGTTTTCTCCTTTCTGGTGAAAAAAAACATAACATTTATATATCCACATATTTTCACCACCGCATTTACCCAACTACCCACATCTGTGTCCCTGTACTCTGTCTTGTTGCTGAATATGAACAGTAAATGGTACTAGCTAAGGTCTGACCCATCACTTGAAGGACAGTCTTATACTCTATTCAAAATACTACTGCAGCATTATCCTCTTCACCTCTGTTTTCAATATTTTTCCAGCACTATTGGATGGCTTTCCAAAGCATAAAACATGCAAATATTACATGAACGAATTAATTAAAACTAAAAAACTTTCTCTGGGCCAGGGAAGGAAACCTCTCTCTTATCCTCTTATCTGACTTCATATACTGCTCCATTTTCCCTTTCAGCTTACTGCCCAGATCCTTGGACATGTTGTTTATATACTTCATCTCTGAATTTTTCCTTCCTTTTTCTTAAACCCACACTATTGATTATTTTTCCTTGTGCTATAGTGAAATAGTGTTTCTCAAGACACCAATGGTTTTATCTTGCAAAATTCAATGATCTTTCCCTTATTTGTCTTTTCACTGGCATTTGACACAGCCATTTCTCCTTGCTCTTGGAACATATTCGTATTTGGCTTGCAGGACACTGCTTTCACCAGTATTTCCTCTGCATCTCTAATTTCTTTAGTTGGTCCTTCTTTACCTTCCAAACTTTTTCTTCTTCTTCTTCTTCTTCTTCTTCTTCTTCTTCTTCTTCTTCTTCTTCTTCTTCTTCTTCTTCTTCTTCTTCTTCTTCTTCTTCTTCTTCTTCTTCTTCTTCTTCTATTTTATCTGTACTTATTCTGTGGCTAATCTCACTCACTCAAATTTCACATCTTTAAATGTCATATATATGCTAATTAATTAATCGCAAATATATCTCTAAGACCAGTCCTTTTCCTTAACTCCAGACCAATATATCCAGCTGCCTACTTGACATATTCTTGTGGAGAGCTATTAGATATCTTGAATGCAACATATTTAAAACTGAGTTGCTGAGAATTGTCCCCAAATTACCCCCCATGCTCCATGACCTCCCATACCTCAGTAAATGGCAACTTCATTCTTACAGTTGCTCAGTGTTGAAAATGTGGTTTCATCTTTGATACCTCTCTTTTTCTCACATGAAACATGCTGTTGATCAAGATCTATCCTGCCCCAAGCTGCCCTCATTCTTTCCTTGGTTATTACAGGTTATAGTCTTCTCTTAATTGAAGGATACCTGCTTCTCTTCTTGTTGCACAAAAGCTTATTCTCAAGAGAGCAGCCAGAGTGATTCTAAAAGATTAGTCAGGATATGGTACTCTTCTTTCCAAAGCCAAAGATCTTGCAGCAGTTTAAGAGGATGTCCATGATCCAGCACTCCTGCTTCCTTCCCACTCTTATTTCTCTGATCTCATCTATCACTGTTCTCTCTGTTACTACTCTACACTACTCCATTTATTTTCAGAGTCTTTGAAGGGTAAGTAAGTGACTTTTGGTTATGGGTTATGGGAGAAGTCTAGAATGACTGTTATCTATTTGTTTTTTGTTTTTGTTTTTTTGACCAGGTGGAAGTTCAAGAATAATTGTTAAATATATAGTACAAAAACAGTCTCTGAGTGATTATAATTTAGTGTGCTTACCTCTAGCATTTATTACTGAAATAAGAGAGAAATGTCTTAGGAGAAAATTTGGATTGAGGACAGATTGGAGGAGGAAAGGAATGGGAATGATGAATTCTCATTTCAATATGTTTTGACTAGGTCTTGATGGGGCAGCTGGGAGGCATTCTGATGGGCATTTGTATATATGACTCCTTTACCACAAATGAATAACAAACAGGGCAGTGAGAGAATGATAAAATATATTTATTTTTTTCTCCTTCTAAAGGATTTGCATTAACCAATTAATAGGCAATGAAAAGCACACACTGGCTGAGGACATATTTCCAAGCACTGAAGGGAAAAGAAAAAACTGGAGGCCAATATATATATATATAAAGTTTAAATCAGTTTATTGACCCAGTAACACAACACACTTGTCTCCCTGGCACTCCCAGCCCCCTCACCCTCACCCCATCTAGATCTCTTTCCTTCCTCCTCACTTAGAACAAGCTGTTCAGTAAAAGCAGCAAAGGGCAGACTACTCTATTCCTATATGCCCAGTCCCACACCCAGGCCCTGTGGAGTAGAATTTCAGGCAATACTCAGAACCTGTTAGAGAGAGAGGGCAGGCAATCATCACTTTATTCAGCCAGCTAAAGGCATTCAGCACCTAATAACTGAATTAATTTCCCCAACTCCCAAGGTCTGGAGTTGCTATTACTCCTCCTCAATTTTCTCTCTGATGATAGGAAAGAGAACCTGAGAGCTGAATCTGCAGTCAGGAGCAAGAACTCCTGGTGATGATTTGAGAATTTTAAAGGAGTTAATGTTTTTTAAGGCACAAGTGCCCACAAAAATGCTCTGATGGTGAAGATGAACTTTAACACCCTTATCTAAAATGCATTTATGACATTAAACAGATTAAGCCATTTTGCAAAACGCCAGCACAACAGCAAACTGTAAAGAAAAAAGAGCCAAGCATTTTAGAAAGCAAATATTAATTACCTCCTTTGAGAGATGAAGATCCAAAAGTCAAGAGAGGCTTCCCCAGAGTGAGGTAGACCTGGGTATGAATCCCTGCTCCATCCTTTATGCTGTATGATCTTGGACCAGTTATTTACCTTTCTCAGCTTCAATATACTTATCTGTAAAACAAAAATAGAGGAGTACTGGGTGAAAAGAGGAAAGTATTAAGAAGTACAACTTGGTAGTTACAAAATAGTCATAGGGGTGTAAAGTTAGCATAAGGAATGTAGTCAATAATATTGTAATAATGATGTATGATGCCAGGTGGGTACTACACTTATTGGGGAATCACTTTGTAAATTGTATAAGTGTCTAATAACTATGCTGTACACCTGAAACAAATATAAAATAATATTGAATGTCAACTGTAATTTAAAAATAAAAATAATTTTAAAACTTAAAAAAAAAAAGTTAAAACATTAAAAAGTCATATGAAAGAATATAGCTAAGGAACCAAGCATGTGATGAGACCACAGGGCATCTAATATTCTGAGATCAACCAAGTTTTTAGGCCAGATTATGAACTTAGCCATCCAAAAGGCCTAAAGGACTATGGTGCTTCGCCCTTTTCAACCTCACTAATTATAATTAAAAATAAAAACAATACTAAACCAAAAAATAAACATAAGGAAAGCTGACAAAATAATGTATTTTCCGTTTAATACTTCAATGCTGGCCTAGCCCAGATCATACATATGAAAGTTTTAAGAATAAATATTTGTGGTAGCACCCCCCCTTTAATTAACTAATTAATTAATTAATTAATTTATTTATGTATTTTTGCTTTTGCCCTATGCATTTGCGAAGTTTTTATAATTGGTAACTCATACCAAAACCAGTACTCCTTCCAAATATCCTTGATCCCTGTCACACGTGGAACATATCCCCCAGCTATCCATAGTCCACCAATAGCCTCAAGTCTCCTTCGAGTCATCCTACCTTCCTTTACAAACCTCTACAAATTCTCATTTTTCTAAAAATCCTAATAAGTGTCATTTACTTCCTTCTCTCCGTTAGTCATCTGGTTAAAGTGCTAAAGACTAGATAAGTTCCCACAAAGCAGAACAGTAGGACAGAAATGACTCATGTACTTAAACAATTAGTTTTTTCATGTATAACATTTGAGCATGATCATGTCAAGTTCAGAGAATCATTTACACAGAAAAGTGACCCTATGGAGCCTGGGGAAGAAATGAGGACAGAAACCAGGGGAATCTCAGCTTAACTTGCAATTCTAAGAGTTCTTGTACTTCCCTCCACTGAGCAGAAATTTTCTGCTCACTTTAGCCTCTTCTCCAACCTGGATGACAAAGTATTGGAGAGAAGTCTCTTGCTGGAAGGTACATTTTCAGAGAATAGGAGAGTCAAGTGAGAGTCTGTCTCGTGCTGGAAGGTACATTTTCAGAGAATAGGAGAGTCAAGTGAGAGTTCTGAGATAGTATGGGAAGAAAACTCTTTCAGGACAATCTGTATCCATGTACATTACACAGACTGAGAATGAGGACCAAGAGGGGCAAAACTCTGTGTTGTATCTAAATGTGTGGGGCCTCCAGGGAACTCAGAGGCATCCTGTTGGTATGACAGATTCTTTCTTCATAGCTTGCAAAATAGAAAGGAAATCAATACAAGATATTTATTTAAGGACTCAGCAAACCTGTGTTAGGAGTTATTTTGGCAGTTTCTATTGTGGGCACTACATAAAGCATATATTAATAATATGTCCATATTCTCAAGGAGCCAAAGAACCAATAGTTTAGTGGGAGGAGAGAGAGAGAGAGAGAGAGAGAGAGAGAGAACATCATTATGACACAGCATCTTAAATGCAAGGTTATAGTAGAATAAAAGTAGAATAAAGGTGCCATGAGAGAAGAGGATCAATTAATCTAAGTAAGATATCAAAAAAAGCTTCCTGGAGGTGGTGGACTCTGGGAACACTTAGAAGAGTGGTGTCTGGCACACAGGAGATACTCAAACACTTGATAAATTAATTTTGTAGAAATTTAACATAAAAACACACAGTGATTATCTAAAAGTTGCTCAAATATCTAGAGAGGAATGGATGATAAAGCAACGACCATATTGAATGATGGGTAGACATCATGACAATGGGACACTGCTTTGTGACACTGTGTGTCCTTGATAAAGTTGTTGATCTCTGTATCAGTTCTCCAGTCTGTAAGAATACATTTTGAAAGATGCTTTAGTATGGAGTCTCATATATCAAGCTTTCAATAAATAACAAATATTATTATAGTCTAATTTTATATGTGGAAAAGTAATTAAGCATATTATCACATACCGCAAGTCACAGCCAGTGACTTCTCTCACAGCTAGAATTCTTGCAAGACAAATGGGTGCAGAAGGAAAGTCATGGCAATTGGAGCTGGAAGAACTGGGTATTAATCCCTATCATTTGCTCCACAAGGGGAGCCTGGCCAGGCTAATTTCTAAAGGTGTCTTATTATCTTCTTAAAAATTACTTTAAGATATGAGGATATTTTTCAGGAATAACACCATATGAATATTAGGAGTAGAGTCTGGAAGAATCTGGTAGGATTGGACTAGACTGAAAAAAGTGGGATGGATGGGAAATACTACCTTGGAAAGAGGAGGAAGATAACAAAGAGATCAAACTGGAATTAGTAGTGGTGAGGCAAGGAGTATTCCCTAAAAGATTCTAGTAACAAATTCTTGAAGAATCGCAGTGGTGGTTTTTGCTTACCCCTGTGAAATAGGGTTTATGTCGCTAGCAACCATTCACCTAGCCTTTCCTCTCCAGGGTCAAACTCTTGACAGACTGAAATATTTGCCAGGAAAATCCCCCAGTGTCCACGTCTGAATGACACAAGTTCAGAATTAATGGAGAGAAATGGACAGTGGTGGCTCTAAGGACAAAAGTGGAGAGGAGCGGGGAGA